CAAGTACAGATCGAGGATCGTAGCCAAGTACAGATCGAGGATCGTAGTAGCATCGAAGCTTTGGAGTCGTAGAGAAGATTGGCTTCTAGCGGAGGAAGGGCGCCCAGCCCTGCGCGATGGGTTCTGTGCTTTCCCGGAATGGGTGGGGTGGAGAACAGAAACCTCCTCAAGGGGGCTCCCAAGACGCGCGTCATTCGCCACTTGGGCTGGCTTATAAAAACTCCACCAGAGCCCAAGATCACATTTAGTTTCTCTTCTTTCGGAAGAAGCCTCGCGGTGCTCAGCTGGAGAACGTCACCCTCGCGGAGCCCAGAAGCGAGCGAGGGGTCGGTCGGTCGCGGCGGTGGCCCGCTGATCGGCGCGCGCCGTCCGCTCTCTTCCCATTCGGCGGCCGTCGCGGGTGACTTGCAGCCTGCCACGGGGCTCGGGTCGGCGAGTTCTGGCCTCTCGACCCGGGGCCGAGCGGGAAAACGAAAGCGCCTGGTTCGGCTAAAGGCGGCGAGGAGCGCGCGCTCGCTGGCCCGGGGCGCGCCCGCCCGAGCACCGCCCGCGCCCGCCCCCGGGCTCCTATAAGTTTCGATTCTCCCCGGAGCAGAGTCCCGCGTCTGGGCGGGAGAGCGCAGCGCGCCATGGCGGACCCGGAGGTGTGCTGCTTCATCACCAAAATCCTGTGCGCCCACGGGGGCCGCATGGCCCTGGACGCGCTGCTCGAAGAGATAAGGCTCCCGGAGGGGCAGCTCCGCGAGGTGCTGGAGGAGGCTGGGCCCGACCGCTTCGTGCTGTTGGAGACAGGCGGCAGGGAAGGGATCACCCGGTCCGTGGTGGCCACCACGCGAGCCCGGGTCTGCCGTCGTAAGTTCTGCCAGAGACCCTGCGAAGACCTGCACCTCTGCAAGCTCAACCTGCTGGGTCGGTGCAACTATTCACAGTCGGATCGGTGAGTGCACGAGAGGGAGGGGGGTGGCGGCTTCGCAGGGCTCAGGTCTGGGAGCACTCTCAGGGGTGTTGCTCCGCGAGGGGCGCGCCCTCGTGGGGACCTCGTACCTCCAGTCTCGCGCCTGTGCTTCCCCGGCCCCGCCCGCCCTCCTGCACTTGGCGGTTCCCTTGCGCCCAGCGCCTCCACACCTGTCCTCGATTTGGCTAACTCCTCATCGCCCCGGGGAAGACCACGCTCATCTCCCCACCCCCAGAGGAATACAGTACTTTTGGGTCAGCCTGGGTCTAGAGCATTTAGAGGCAGGTTTGGGAAGGAAGGGAAACGCCTCCCCTGTGTGGAATCGTGAGTCTTTCCCTCTGTGCTACCGTCGTCCCTGTCCGCGCCCAGTTTGTGCCGCAGCGAGCTGGCCCTGCGCTTGGCCCTCCGTTCCTAGCCCCCTCCATGCCCCTCATTATCGCCTCCCTGATCTCTGAGGCTAGTCCGCACCACCTGGCCAGAATGGTCCTCTTCAAGGTTACCGATGAAGTAGTGTCTTCTCCCAGCGCTCCTGCCCCAAGTTCTCCATGGTGGCCTGAGCGGGTGACTGCCCGCTCTTGGGGAACACTTTGAACGAGTGCGGCGGATCTCTCGGGCAGCTGCTTCTGAGTTTCCACTTGTTCATTTTTTGCCTCTTTAGTATAGTGTGCCCCGAGGTTTTGGGTTAAACCTTTTGACCTGTCTTCCCAGTCTCTCCCAAGAGAGCTCACTCCCTTGGGTTCTGCTGTCACATCTACAAAGATGGCTTCCATATGTGTATCGGCTGCCTCCGCCTTCCTGCTACCTCTGGGTTCTTCCTTCCCCAGTGTCCGAGCAACATCTGTACCTGGATATGCTGCCAGTCGGTCACACTCATCCTCTTTCCTCCAGGGCAGGGTCTCTGGCACTGCCCCAATCCCTTCTTCACCCTTCACAATACCTTCATCACCAAGCCCTTTTCTTGAGGGCTCCTATCTCCTTCCAGCTTGGCTTCCCTCATCCCATCCCACTTCTGATTGAATGCTTGTTCAATTAGTGAATGATTCTCTCTGACCATAGTCGTTCTCCCCATCTTTTCTGTCCCTGTGCACTCTTGCTCAATTATTTTTCTTGATATACCACTTTCTACACTTGGCCCCTCCTTAAAAACTTTAAGTGGTGTCTTGGTGTCCAAAATGGTGGACATCAATCTTTTGATCTTGTGCTTGTTAGCAAAAACCTTTGGATTACTCACCCCAGTATGTGTGTAGGAAAGCATACAAAAGACCGGTGTTTGATTTATTTATTTATTTTAAAAGATTTTATTTATTTATCCAACAGAAAGAAATCACAAGTAGGCGGAGAGGCAGGCAGAGAGAGAGGGGGAGGCAGGCTCCCTGCCAAGCAGAGAGCCCCATGCGGGGCTAGACCCCAGGACCCTGAGATCATGACTGGAGCTGAAGGCACAGGGTTTCACCCACTGAGGCACCCAGGCACCCCAAGACCAGTGTTTTAAATGGATGAGGTAGATGAGATAAAACAATTTTTTTTTAGGACAAAATGGTAAAACTTCTTAAAAAGTGCTGAATGTGCTCCATTATTAAAAATATATATATATTTATTGAATATGTTGGGAAGCACCAAATTGAAAGTTGGTTTCTAAGTTTTGGTAAATTATGAATGAGTATAGAGGGAATCCTCCAAGTCACAGCGACCCAGGAAATCTGGGAGGAGGAAGAAGGGCAGGGGGTGGAGGATAGAAAGGGAAGGAACATTCTAGTACTATCCTGAATAACAGCAGAGTTGAAGGGATTTATCTTCTTCCTTTTTTTTTTTTTTTTTTGGGTGCTTTTCTGATCTGTTACTAAAAATTCAACGAGTGTTGGCATTTAGTTTTAAATATATATATATATCTGTTATATTTTAATTTTTTACTCTAGATAGTTTCAAAATATATTACAGAAAAGAGAATGATGACCTGCTAGGTACCCATCATTTCAAATCAACAGTTTTCAAAATATGGTCAGTCTTGTTTCATTTAATCCTCTCCCTCCATCCCTGTCCCCAGCGCCTAATGTGTTATCTTAAACCAAATCCCAGAGATTATGTGTTCCGTAAATTCTTTAGTATCTCTAAAGGGTAAGGACTCTGTTTTATTATTAACATAACTATAGTACAACAATCACAATTTTTTACAATTACAATTTTAATATAATCTGATATATGGTTGGCATTCAGATTTCCCTGATGGTCTTATGATAGACTTGCATTTTCAGGAAGAAACCTACAAAGATATAATCCATAATTGTTTAAATATGTTACATACCCATATGTAAAGAAACTTGCAATTTCTTATACTCAATATCTTTAGACACTTTATTTTTTTTTAGAAACTTTAGTTTTTTTGTTTTATGGATATTATTATGGTATTTTTGTGTGTGTGGTTTGAAACATCAAAACCATTTTAAACTCCTATATTGGGTTGTTAACCAGGACTTTTATGTATTTTAAATTTTTTTTAAGATTTTATTTATTTATTTGACAGACAGAGATTACAAGTAGGCAGAGAGGCAGGCAGAGAGAGAGGAGGAAGCAGGCTCCCTGCTGAGCAGAGAGCCCGATGTGGGGCTTGATCCCAGGACTCTGAGATCATGACCTGAGCCCAAGGCAGAGGCTTTAACCCACTGAGCCACCCAGGCGCCCCATTTTTATGTATTTTTAAAGGAGAGATAGGATACAGGGATAATTCGGTCTTTCAAATTTGGATGGCTCCTCTGGGGAATATATTAAAGTTTTTTTTTTTCTTTTAGTGAAGTGATAAATTTTCACTTCTTACATATATTCGTCTAGTTGTATTTTTTATTTCCTTTTTCATCACTTTTGAATTAGAGAGAATTACAAATTTTTAATCCATTAAAGTGTATTTTGTCATCATAATAGGGTCCTTGAGAGAACTTTTTTTTTAACTCAAAACTTAAAAATATGTTTTTTCCCCAAGTGTGTTTTAGAAATTTCCCCCTTCTGAGAAATTTATAAAATCTAAAACTTGACATGTAGGAGTCTAAGGACTTCCTACAGGTTAATGGGATCTTTTGACCAAGTGATACTCCTATCAGTTGCCTGAGGACAGTTTGCATTTTGCTGGACTTATAAAATCTCCTTTATACTGCTTTATATAAAAATTCCTTTATATTCATAGATAGGACTTCTATCTATCCTGCAGTTCTAGTCTTTCTTACATGGGTTTTATTTTTTTAAAAAATTTAAAAAAGATTTTATTTATTCATTTGATAGAGAGCACAAGCACGAGGAGCAGCAGGCAGAGGGAGAGGGAGAAGCAGGCCCCCTGCTGAGCAGGGAGCCGGAAGCGGGGGCTCGATCCCAGGACCCTGGGATCATGCATGACCTGAGCCACCCAGGCGCCCCTCTCACAATGCTTTTTAGCTGTACACCTTAGTGAACATGCTTGCTTCAGTGTTGGGTATTTCCTTGTTTTGGTACATCAGTTTGGATGTTTCCGTTTGCTTTGCCGAAATATATGCCCACATGTGGAGTTCTGATCCCAATTCTGATGCAAACGGTTAACTACCATTTATTGAACAAAGAACTACGTATCAAGCATGATGGCAAGCAGTTTAGAGATGGTATCCAAGATGGTCTTTACCATGACTCCGGAGGTGGATATTATAAATCCTTTCTTTTTTTTTTTTTAAGATTTTATTTATTTGACAGAGATCACAAGTAGGCAGAGAGGCAGGCAGAGAGAGGGGGAAGCAGGCTCCCCGCCAAGCAGAGAGTCTGATGTGGGGCTCAATCCCAGGACCCTGGGATCATGACCTGAGCTGAAGGCAGGGGCTTTAACCCACTGAGCCACCCAGGTGCCCCGATTATAAATCCTTTCTTAATAGAAGTCAGCTCAGACCCAGAGCTGTTAGAAATTTCCAGAAGGCCACAGAGTAGATAGCTGGCAGAGTTGTTGAACCCAGATCCAAGAGCACGATTGATTACTTAACGAGCTACTTAACGTGGGGAAGTAACTCTGTGAAGTAGGATCTTTCATTAATTCAGGTTGAGTGGGTTTTTTGTTTTCTGGGGTTTTTTTGTTTGTGTTTGTTTTTTGTTTGTTTTTTCCTTCCAAGCATGACCGTTTAACTGTGTGAAGCAGGCTCTCTAGTGTTTTCAACTAGCTTTGCGGTTTTTGCCAATGTGGGTGTTTCCTTTGGGCTCTTTCCTGTTTGTATGCCTTTCCTGTTTGGTTAATTGTAACTTTGGGTGGGGTAGTTAGATGGAAGAGGTTTAATTGACTATTTAATAGATTGACTATTTAATAGAAGCAGATTGCAAAGAATAATATTCTTTTAAAAAATTATTTATGTATTTGACAGAGAGAGAGAGAAAGAGCGAGCCAGAGAGCATAGGCCGAGGGAATGGCAGAGAGAGAAGGAGAAGGCTTCCTGCTGAGCAGGGAGCTGGATATGGGGCTCGATCCCAGGACCCTGAGATCATGACCTGAGCCAAAGGCAGACGCTTAACTGACTGAGCCGCCTAGGTGCCAAGCAAAATATAATATAACAAGCATCAGAGTATTTATCTATATTCTAAAAACATAACAAAAGTTATATAAAAGAAAATACAAGATAAATAAGCTTACAACTCACCTCCCAGAATAAGAAATACTTATGCTTTTCGTTTTGCTTTTCTTTTAAGATATAATAAAAGCCATAACAGGCCAAACATTATTTTCTATTTCCTAGTCTCATTCCTTTCTCTCACCAGAAGCAACCTCTGTCAGGATTTATGGTGTGTCTTCTGCCCCTCCATGAATTCTATAATTTCCTCATGTACATGTTTGTATCCTTGTACAAAATGTAGTATTGTTTTATATATTTGAGAATTTTTTTCAATGTTATGCTTTGGAGATATATTCCTAGTGATACGTAAGGATCTAATTTATTCATCTTAATGGCTGTATAGTATTTCATTCTGTGATTTCTGGCACAGTTCAG